GGACCTAGAAACACAAAGAGAAACCCTTCCTTTAGAGCTCAAACTCTGAACTCAGACTTCTAGGCTTCTAAACTGTGAGAGAATAAATTGCTGTTTGTTAAAGCCATCCACTTGTACTGTTCCTGTTACAGCAGCACTAGATAACTAAGACAGTGGTATATTCAGTATTATTTGCTAACACCACAATTCAAATGAATCGATTCTTTTGTGTTATTCCTTACTTATTAATCCAGCTTTCACATGCATATGAAGCTATTGAAAAGCCATTGGCTTTGGTCACATGTAGATTAGCCTTCAGAATGACATCTTTGTTCTTTAACACTTTAAAAGGGGTCCTTTGTAGCAGATTTGCCCGATGCAAATCATTTGATTTCCTTTTTTTTTTTTTTTTAATTGTATCATATTATTTATTAGGTCTTCTTGATGAGTCTCACATTACTGTTTTTGTACATATTACAACAAATAATGTGGTCAGAAGTTTTTGATAATCTTTGTATTTTAATTAGTCTCTTTCTAATTGATGTGAAACAATATAATGTCATTTGATTTTTTGACTGCTTCTTCCATGGGTGTTGATTGTGCATCCAAATAATAAAATGAAATCCTTGACAACTTCAGTCTTTTTCCGTTTTTCATGATGATGCTTATTAATCCACTTTGTGAGGATTTTTGTTTTCTTAATGCTGAGGTATAATCCATACTGAAGGTTGCAGTCTTTGATCTCCATCATTAAGTGCTTTTCAAGTCATCTTCACTTTCAGCAAGCAAAGTTGTGTCATCTGCATATCACAGGTACTTAATGAGTCTTCCCCCAATCTTGATGCCACGTTCTTCTTCCTATAGTGCAGCTTCTCGGATCATTTGCTCAGCACACAGATTGAATAAGGATGGTGAAAGGATATAGCCTTGATGTACTGCCTTCCTAATTTTAAAACATGCATTATCCCCTTGTTGTGTGTTTGAATGACAGGCTCCTGGTCTATGTATGTACAGGTTCCTCATGAGCACAATTAAGTGTTCTGGAATTCCTGTTCTTCTCAGTGTTATCCATAACTTGTTATGATCCACACAATCGGGTGCTTTTGCATAGTCAATAAAACACAAGTAAACATCTTTTTGTTGGATGTTGGATATTGATTGTGGAGCCATGTAATATGAAATCTTTGACAACTTCAAACTTTTCTCCATTTTTCATGATCCAGAGGTGAGGATTTTCATTTTCTTTATATGGAGATATAATTCATACAGCAGACTGGTGTCTTTAATCTTCATCAATAAGTACTTCAAGTCACCTTCACTTTCAGCAAGTCAGGTTGTGTTGTCTGCATATAGCACATATAGCAGGTTGTTGATGAGTCTTTTTCCAATCATGATGCCATATTCTTTTTCATATAGTCCAACTTCTCAGATTGTTTGCTCAGCAACACAGATTGAATAAGTATGGTGAAAGGAGACAACCCTGATGTGTCAAAAAAGCACAGGTAAACATCTTTCTGGTAGTCTTTGCTTTAAGCCAGGATCCTTCTGACATCAGCAGTGATATTTCTAGTTCTGTGTCCTCTTCTGGATACAGCTTGAATTTCTGGAAGTTCCTTGTTACTACACTGCTATAAACATTTTTGAATTATCTTCAGCCAGATTTTAAGTGCGTATGAGATTAATGATGTTGTTTGATAATTTGTACATTTTGTTGGAATGTTCCACATTTCTTCGGGATGGGCACAAATACGGATCTCTTCTAGTCAGTTGGCCAGGTAACTGTTTTCCAAATTTCCTGGCATAGACAAGTAAATGCCTCCAGAGCTGCATCCGTTTGTTGAAACATTCCAGTGGTTGTTCTGTCAATTCCTGGAGCCTTGTTTTTTGACAGTTCCTTCAGTGTAGCTTGCATTTCTTTCTTCAGTGCCATCCATTCTTGATAATATGCTACCTCCTGAAATGGTTGAATGTCAAGAAATTCTTTCTGTACAGTGACTTTGTGTATTCTTCCCATATATATATGTATATACATATGTGTATATATATATACACACACGTATACATATACATCTCTATATATATGTTGTTATGTTGTGCTGTCAAGTTGGACCCGACTCATAGCAACCCCTCTTTGGGTTTCTGAGACGGTATCACTATGGAAATAGATTGCCCAACCTTCCTTCCAAGGAGTGGCTGGTGGGTTCAAACCACCAGCCTTCTGGTTAGCAGTCAAGTGCCTTAGGCACTACGCTACCAGACCTCTTGTGTGTGTGTGTGTATGTATGTATGTATAAATTGTGCTTTGGGTGCAAATTTGCAAAGCATATTTGTTTTATATTCAACAGTTCATGTTGATTTCATTGCCCCAGTTACCATCCTCAACCATAAAATACTTTCTTCCCTATGACTACCCCTGCCTTGTGCCTTTCTTATATGTGGATACCTGTCAGTCTAGCTTTCTGTCTATGTGAGTACTGCCCTTCTGATGTCTCATGGCTAATTGCTCTAAGTGGTGCATCTCTGTAGAGTAGGTGGGTGCACTGCCATGGGGTAGGTATTCTGCACATGGATCTTTCTGCTATTGAGCTGAGAGGTAATTCATGGAAGTGAGTCCATTTGTAGGCTCTAAGGGTAACCGAGGGCTTCCACAGACTTGTTTTTATTTTTTTCAGCCTCAAGTTGAACTTGCATATGAGCAGGTCATGGTATGTTCCGTAGTCATCTCCTTCCCTTGTGTTGGCTGATGGTATATGAACTTCTCCATCACCTCTTTCCATAGGTGCAGTTGATTTGATTTCTGTTTATTCAGTCTGGTGAGGTTCATGTGTATTGTTGCTGTTTCTGTTAGTGAAAAAAGGTATTTGCAGTGAATAAGTCGTTGGTCTTGCAAAATTCTGTCATGATCTTTGGAGTAATTTCTATCACCAAGGCTCTATTTTCTAACTACCAGTGGTTCTTCTGTGTTTGCAACTTTCATATTCCAATACCAGCAATAATCAATTTATTTAATTTCAGACTAAAGAAGCTGGTAAAAATCTTCAACTTCTTCACCTTTGGCTTTGGTGATTGGTGCATAAATTTGAATATAGTTGTATTAACTGGTCTTCTTTGTAGGCATGTGATCCTATCACTGACAGCATTGTACTTCAGGATAGATCTTGAAATGTTCTTTTGATGATAAATGTGATGCCAGTTAATTCCTGGCATAGTAGACCCTATGATTGTCTGATTCAGAATGACCAGTAGCAGTCCATTTTAGCTCACTAATGCCTAGATATTGATCTTTACATGTTTTATTTCATTTTTGACAACTTCAAATTTTCCTATTCCCAATTCCTACATTCTTTGTTCCCATCATCAATGAATCTTTGCAGCTGTTTCTCCCCATTTTGAGCCATGACCCTTCAGCAAACGAAGGTCCCGAAAGCTTTACTCCATCCATGTCATTCAGGTGGACTCTGTAGCTTTTCCCCCTGTCACATTTGGAGTGCCTTCTGACCTGAGAGCCTCATCTTCTGGCACTTTATCAGACAGTATTTCACAGCTCTTCATAAAGTTTTCTAGTAACGTATCAGACCATGTTTCATTAGATAATGGCGGTAGCATTAAATAACTTTTATATAGTTCTAGAATATCATAGCAAATTTATGATTGGTTTTAGCAAAAGTATTTTAAGTCTGTTTTTAAATAAATAAATGGTAAAGTAAAATAATAAATTTGCATAGAGAGAACATTTTAAACAGTAGGGAAAGGCAGAATAAAACTAAGTTAATTGCACTCTGTTATTTCTCAGCATCCCCCCCAACACCCCTACACAAGCACTTTACTGAGTCTCTCTCCAAAATAACTACTTTTTGGTTTTCTAGGATTACTTTTGGTTGTTGCTGACACAAATGGTATCATAATTTTTGCCTTTATTTATTAATAGGAAGATGCCTTACATATGTCATAGTTCATACCACATTTAACTAGTCTCCTCATTGGGCATTCATTTTCTTTTATTTTACTGTCATTAATTCCACTGCAGTGAACATTCTCCCATAGCTTGCTTCACTTCCATAGCTGTAGGGCAGTTTCTAGCAATGAATTCAGTGGGTAAAGTACATTATGTGTTTTGCTGCTGCAAATATTTCTTCAAAAATTTTCTACCATTTTATAATCCTACCAACTGACTATGAGAATTTCTGTTTGAACATGTTTGCTAAAACTAATATATAATCAGTTTGGCAATCTAAGAAGTGAAAAAGGAGCTCTTATGGTAGAGTGGATAAGACATTTGGCTGCTAACCAGAAGGTCAGTGGTTAAAACCCACCAGCCACTCTACGGAAGGAAGATTGGGTGATCTACTTGTGTAAAGATTTACAGCCTCCAAAATCCAATGGGGGTTGCTGTGAGTCATAATCTAAGAAGTAAAAGGAAAAAGATAATCAAGGATATATTAGTTTTGCTTATTAATGATGACACTTTCTTTGTTATGTTTACTGACTTTTTGTATGTATCTTTGGATTACTTCCTTGTTAGTGCTCATTTTCCTCCTAGATTGTTTTCTTAATTTACAGTTCCTCCCTGCTTCATTTGAGTGCTGACAAATTAAGGAAATTAGACATTTGTTATGTTGTGATTATTTTACCTATTTTTTAAAAATTAATTTTTGGTTACAGATAGGTTTTTAATTTTTTAATGTGTTCCAGTTCAATTACTGTTTTCTTCTGAGTCCTTTGGGTTAACTTTGTCTCTTTGAGAAGCAGACTTAAAGTATATTAATGATGGCAGTCTCAGTGTAAATTTTATTAGGACAGGTAGACAGATTGTGCTGGTACTGAATTTTAGCAGTTTGCTAATTTAAAGTGATAATTTTCAAAATTATAAATTTCAACTCGGATTTTAGTTGTGCAAGTAATCTGATTTATGACCTTTGAACATTGAATTTAAAAGCAGTAGGCATTCATTTGCCTTCATTTTATGGTTTGATTTCTCCTTCTCCTTCCCTTTGGGCCTGCCTTTTTGATGGAATTCATAGTTGATCCCCCTGAAGAATTAGGAGCTAGTATTTCTGTCACTTCAGATGAGCTAGAGAAATTGCTGTACAAGCCACAAGATGGTGAATGGGGTCGAAGATCGAGAGATGAAGAGTGTGAAAGAATTATCAGTGGCATAGATCAACTCTTGAATCTTGGTAAGTTTTTTTTTTTTCTTTTGGGGTGAAAAGCTTTCTTTTCCATAATAGGGTTTTATTTTCCACAAAAGTATTTAAAAATCACTGTAATTGCAGCTCTGTTCTTTATTACATTATCTTGTTTGTTACCTTCTGGCTTAGCTTCTAATGTTTAATGTAGCTCTGTTTTATGAAAGTTTTGTAGAGAAATATATATCATTTAGAAGTCATGAGTTTATTGATTAAAAACTCTTCTGCCCTAACAGATATAGCAGCAGCATTTGCTGGCCCGGTTGATCTATGTACCTACCCAAAGTACTGTACAGTAGTAGCTTATCCAACTGATCTTTACACAATTCGAATGAGGCTTGTCAATCGATTTTACAGGTTAGTAGAAACGTACTTTCAAAAAACTTTGAAAAGACATTGGCTGTACAAGCTAAAAAGAGGTAGTGGTAGTTGATGGTGCCGTTGGATGGATGGTTGATTAACATTTTCTGTTTCATTCTCTCCCTTCATTATTATAATTTCTCTGGTCTTTCTTTGGTCCTATGTGTAAGACATTGGGAACTCTGGTGGCATTGTGCCTAAGGCATTTGACTGCTAACCAGAAGGCTGGCACTTCAAACCCACCAGCCACTCCTCGGAAGGAAGGTTGGGCAATCTACTTCCGTAGTGACACTGCCTCGGAAACCTAAGGAGGGGTCGCTATGAGTCGGATCCGACTCGACGACAGTGAGTTTAGTGAGTATGTGTAAGAAATTAGGGAGCTCTGGTGGCAAAGTGCCTAAGGCATTTGACTGCTAACCAGGAGGTTGGTTCAAATCCTCCAGGTACTCTGCAGAAGGAAGACTGGGCAGTCCACATCCATGAAGATTTACTGCCTCAGAAACCCAAAGGGGGGGTTGCTTTGAGTCAGAATTGGCTCTTTGGCAGTAAGTTTGGTTTTTTTTTTGGTTTATGTGTAAGACATTATGTTAGATTCCTGTGAGTAGCTGGGAATTGAACTGGACATACCTTTATCCTCAATCTATTAGTAGTCTGTTTTTCTTCTAAATTATATTAAAATGATAAGTTAAATTTGTTTTTTATTTTATATATTAACATTCCTATTTAACTTCTCCATTTAATAATTGGCTAATGATTTTTTAATGCATTTTCTTTATTGGGTCTCAACATCTGTAGATGGTATCAATAGGCAGTGTAAAAACAGGGCAACTTTGTAGGCTTTCTGTATGTGATAAAGTGATCTTTTAGGCTTTTGGTCTTAAATTGTTTTCTGCAGTTCAATGTAAAATACAATTGCTTATCATTATAATGAAGTTGATAGCATTAGAAGCTTGTTCATTGTAACTTTGTACTTACAGTTTTATTTACTGATCATACTGTCTTAGTTAACTTACTGTGCTAAGAAAAAATTGCTTTTTTATTTGGTTTCTTATTTTTTGTTTTCTAAGCCCTAACTTGCCTACTTTATTTTGAAGGAGGCTATCTGCATTAATTTGGGAAGTAAGATATATTGAACATAATGCCAGAACATTTAATGAACCTGAGAGTGTAATTGCAAGATCAGCTAAGAAGATAACTGACCAACTTTTAAAATTAATCAAGTAAGTTACTTCATATTATAGATGTTATAGAGGAGTAATTTTGTATATTGTGCTCTTAGAGCCATCCAGGTTTACTTTTTATTTTCTGAATTATTCTTTTTTATTAATTGACCAATTTAATTTTTTTCTACTTTTTAAAAAATTTGAGATAATTTTATACTGCAGAAGAGTTGCCATAGACCTTTCACCAAGCTTCCCTTATGGTAGCGTTTTACATAATTGTGCTACACTTAGGAAAATTTAAAGATATTAATTAAGCATGGTACAGTGGAGTGTATAACTTACTTGAATTTTTCCATTTCATTTTTCCATTTCAGCATCCCGTGCAGAATCCCCATTGCATTTACTGTTTTTTTTTAGTTTGTTCCCTAGTCTTTCATGACTTCATGTTTTTGAATAGTGTTGGTCACTTTTTTTGTAGAGTTTTTTGAACCCACCAGCTGCCCTATGGCAGAAAGATGAGGCAGTCTGCTTCTGTAAAGATTTATAGCCTTGGAAACCATATGGGCAGTTCTACTCTGTCCTATAGGGTTGCTGTGAGTCATAATGGACTAGTGGCAGTGGATGGGTGCTTAATTTGGGTTTGACAAATTTCTCATGATTAGATGGAGTTTTAATCTATTTTGGATTGTATCTTATGAAAATGTTTGCAGTCAGACTATTTAATACTTTTTATTGCATTAGGAAGTTAATTTGGAGTAGTAGTACAATGAAAACTGATAAGAAATTCAAACCCAGGTTCCAACCTTATCTGTTTAGTGAATGTTCTTTGTGACTTTGGTTGGATATATCACTTGGCCTCAGTCTTTTTTAATGTTTATGAGTTTTGTTGTATGACTTTGCCCCTTTTTTATAGCTATAAAAATCCTTTGCATGAATCATGTATTTGAGAAGATAATTTATAAAAGAGACATAGTTTTCATCATGTCACCAAAAATTTGGTAATAATAGGTTCAGTTCCATCTCACTTTCATGTGGTGACTATCCAAAATACATAGGACTGGCTTAGTCAGCCCCTCTATAGAATCTTCTTATTTTCTACTTCAGGAAGTTCACACATCCATTTTCATCTCTTTCATGACAAAATATTCCTACTTTAATAGTCTATCTTATGTTCATAGTGAGGCTAAATTTCCATTTGTTTTAATTTCTACTTTTTTTTTAAATTTCTTTCTTTGTAAAAACTTTTTTAAAAAAAAAAAATTTCTTTTTGCAAATATACACAAGACATACACCAGTTCAACAGTTTGTACATGTACAATTTAGTGACATTGATTGCATTCTTTGGGTTGTGCAACCATTCTCACTCTTTTCTTAGTTGTTCCTCCTTCATTAACATAAACTCACTGCCCCTAAGGTTCTTATCTAATATTTTGAGCTGCTGTTGTCAACTTGATCCCATATGGATAGTTCCTAAAAAACAAAATGCTCAGGAGAGACTTTTTTCACTAGTTAAGGTAAACTACTGTCTGTTTTTCAAATTACCCTTTTCTTGGTAATTACTATATGAATATTGCTAATGATGATATTTAGGAAAAGTTACCCATGTATTTATTCATTTGAGGCCATACATATGTTATTTCTGAATTAGCATTTTAATTTTTATTTACATAACTGAAATAAACCTAATTCTCAAGATTCTGGGTTAGGTCATAATATGCTTAGTTATTTCCACAGACAGTTGTGTCAAAACCTGGTATTCCTTTGCTTGAAATTAGGTATATATAGGCCGAGGAACTGATTACATTTTAATGTGTATTTTGAATTCTTGGAAACAGTTAATGATATCTACATGCTATTAAAATAAACGGAATAATTGCTTTTCAGGAATCAAGACTGTACAAATATCTCAGAACTTATTAACACATCGGAAAGTGATGAGCAAAATGCTGAGGATTTGGTATGCAGTTTGTCAATTTTATAATGATTTTTGTTCATCTTACATGTTAGCCTGAAAAATGAAGAGTTTAGTAGAAAATGTTGTTTCTCTACTATTAATTCTTGCTGTTTATAATGAACATTGAAAATAGGGATTTTGAAAATAAAGACTTGTTTTAGAATCATTTAGATTATCTAGGAGTTAATAATTGATACCAAATAAATAGAATATACCTAAATTTGTAAATTGAGGTATAGAATGTGTGCTTACATATTTTAACTTGAGAGAGGTGTGTTGCAGAAAGTGCCTTGGAAATAATTATGTTAAACCAGTATCTCCATGTTGGGTTTAATCGTAATTAAAAATTAATAAACTAGATCATGCTCCAAGTACTCCACCAAGTTCCACAGTCAAGATAGTACTGAAATGTAAGTACATGGGCAGATATCAGTGGTATTGTGTAAGTTCAGTACCACCTATTATCAGATTTTGGTTTGATGTTTCTGGAAGGATATTCTTTAGTATAATATAGTGTCAATATATATCCAAACTGTGGCTGTCGTTCACTGATTTTTATGCTAATTTATATTGGAATTAAAATTGATACACTAATGTGATTTTTAGAATAATTACTAAAATGAGTAGAACAAGGAAATCCATGCATTCTAGGTAACCATAAGTGGTTGTCTTAGGCAGGATTTTCTAGAGGAGCAAAACCAGTGAATCCTATATACAGATATATAATACAGATTTATTTCAAGAATATGGTTCTTACAATTATGGAGGATGAAAAGTCCCAAATTCATGGGTTAGGCACCAGGCTAGAGCTTCTTCTGACTCAAGTGGTTGCTTGGGTCCACAAACACAAAATTTGCAGATTAGGCGGTAGGCTGCTGGCTTACATCCCAAGAACCAGAGGTCAGTGGTTGATGAGGCAGATGCAGGATTGATAAAGGGAGTTAGCTTTGCCAGCACATCCTTATATATTGGATGCAGGCATACCCTTAAGGAAATTCCCTCATCAACTAATAAGTTGCTTACAACAGATCACAAAATGGAGGATGATTACATAATGTTTGTCAAACCACTGAGAATCATGTTGTTGTTGTTATGTGCTGTCGAGTTGGCCCCAACTCATAGCGACCCCTCCTTGGATTTCCAAGACAGTATCACTACTGAAGTAGATTGCCCAACCTTTCTTCTGAGGAGTGGCTGATGGGTTTGAACTGCCAACGTTCTGGTTAGCATTCCAGTGCCTTAGACACTCCACTTTCAGAGCTCCTAATCATGGCTTAGCCAAATTGACATATAACATTAACCATTATGGTCTACCCCTTATCAGCTTGGTACCTTTGCATATCTCCTTAGACTACACACAGTCTCTAAATAATTATAAATTAAGTTATACTTGTGCCTAACATGATAAAATTAATATGCAGCAGCCGACAATGTACTAGTTCTGTTTATGTCATATATTTTATTATTAGTAATGGGGGAAAGGAGCCCTGGTGGTGCATTGATCATAGTGCATGGCTGCTAAGTAAAAGATTAGATTTGAACCCACCAGTCATACCATGGGAGAAAGATAGGGCATATTGCTTCTGTAAAGATTACAGCCTTAGAAATCCTATGGGGCACATTTACTTTATCCTGCAGGATTGCTATGAATTGGAATCTACTTGACAGCAATGGGTTTGATTTCTTTTGGGGGGTGGGGTGGGGTTGGTGAATGGAATAAAGGAGAGACCAATACAAAGATGTCTATTATATACACACATACCTGTTCATTTATCATCTTTGCATAACAAAACTAGAAAGACTTACTCCTAACAGTTATAGGCTTTGTTTCTGCAGTTGGTCATATTGTAGCTGGTATTTGGAACAACCTTCTACCAGCTATTTGCTATTCCCCTTTGCCCTCAGCAAACACCTCAGGTGTTTGTTGTTCTTTGTCTGGTTGGGTGACCAAAAAATTCATTCCTAAAAGGTCTGGGCGATTAGTAGTCATGTCTGAATTGATTTGCTGTAGTTTTCCATTGACTTTAATCACAGGGCATGGTAGTACTTAGAGATATCCTAAGGAATCTCCTGTACCCCAGATACATTCTTCCTTACCTCCATTATGTAATATCATTCTGAGTTTTCTTTGGTAATCAGGATCAGTCACACTAGCCAGTACAGTATGTCTTTGTTGCCCATTGATACAGAAGCATGAGAATCCCAAAGTATCTCAGTGGCATTCTTAAATTGGCATTCACTGGAATCAGTGTTATTTCCTGGTGGGAATATTCCTCCCTTTTGAACTAAGACCTTTAGACCTTGTAGAGCATAGGGTCTCAGGGAGAGAAAGCAAAAAGTTTTCGAATGGGTCATTACTGGTGAGCCACTCCCATTTCCACCCCTTGATTTCTGGACCTATGAATCTTGGTTATGGTAGAAGTGGTGCCATATATTAGATACTGGTTTAGAGCACATACAGCCTCCTGGGGTACATTGCCCCAGCTCTGCAAGATATTGCCACCTAGCTGATGATGCAGTTGTGTCTTCAGAAGGCTATTCCATCGTTCTGTAAAGACAGATGCTTCAGGATGATGACAGATGCTTCAGTGAATTACATGAACATTGACCCATTGCTGCATTTCATTTGCATTGAGACGATACTGTGTGGGATACCATGCCAATAGATAAGGTATTCTGTGATTCTGTAGATGGTAATTTTGGCCAGAAGCATCGCATGCAGGAAAAGAAAATATCTAGAGTAAATGTTTATCCCAGTAAGAACAAAACGCTGTCCTTTCTGTTACGGAAATGCACCTGTGTTGTCAACCAGCTACGTGGTTGCTGGCTGATCACCACAAGAAATGATTCTATAGTGGGCAATTCAGTGTTGGTGTCTGCTGCTGGCAGATTGGGCACTCAGCAATGTTTATAGCCAAGTTGGCCGTGGTGTTAGTCTATATTGTTGAGCTCATGTAAAACCTCCATCCCTGTGACCATGACCATTTTGTTCATGAGTCACTTTGGAAATGATAGGTATGCTTGGAGAAAGACACTGTCAGGTATCGAATGAACGTATCATCATCCTATCCACTTGCTTGCTAATATCTTTCTCTTCTGAGGTCACTTTTTGTTGAACATTCATATGAGACATACAGATCTTCAGTTCTTTGGCCCATTCAGAGATATCTATCCCCATACCTCTTTGTTATTCTAGTCATGTTCCTTCCAAGTCCCTGGCCATCCAGCCAAACCAGTGGCCACAGCCCATGAATCAGTATTCACTTGCTGATCTCACCATTTCTTTTTCCAAGCAAAGCGAACAACCAGGTATTCAGTTTTACCCACTGGGAGGATTTCTTTTCACCACTGTTCTTCAGGGAGGTCCTAGAAAGGGGCTGCAGTGTTGTTGCTGTCCACTTACAGGTGGTGCCTGCATTCTATGCAGAAGTATCTGTAATCAGGTACAGATTTTCTCTTCATTGATTGATCCTAGCAGACTGGGAGAGAGAAGGTAGTGTTACATGAGTGGGGATCATGGGCATTTTGGCTTCTTCCTCATGCCACTTATTTGTGCCTTCAGATGCTGCTCAAGCCCAATCTGTTGTACATCACTTTCATTTAATGATAGACTACTGCTGTGCGTGTTTGACATCATGACACTGTGGGTCATATAACACCTAGTTCTTGATGGGTAACTCAAGCTGCATGATGACTTGTTGGCCCATGGTTAGGTGTTCTGTCTCTACTAAAGCCCAGTAATAAGCCAAAAACTGCTTCTCAAAAGGAGAGTAATTAATCTGCAGAGGGTGTAATGCTTTGCTCCAAAATCCTAAATGTCTGCGCTGTGATTTACCAATAGGGGCCTGCCAGAAACTCCAAACAACATCTCTATCTGCCACTGACACTTTTAAAGCACCATTGGCTCAGTTGGATCACATGGCCCAAATGGCAGAGCAGCTTGTATGTGCAACCTGAACTTATAAAAGTTTGTAGATCTCTTTGGGGAAGCCAGGGAGAAAGATAAACAGTATACATTTTTGGCATTGTGGTGGGGTCTTTCCTCAAGGGGACATGACCTCCTCTTCACTGTAGGGCTTGTGGGTCTATAAACTGTCAATTTTAATTAAATCTGAGAATTGTTTGAGGGGCCATGATTCTCTGTTGTGGCGACTCAAGTTAGACTGGTATTTACTTGACCTGGAATTCTTCCACTTGACTGAACAAGTAAATATTTAGTAGATTTTATATCCATTTCCCTCCAAGGGACATCATTTCTAAGTAGCCAATGACATAAGTCCATATGATTCAGACTGGTTTGGTTACTGCTTTTGAGTGCTGTCCATGACAATAACCACACACACCTTGTCTTGTGCAGTCACTTGGCCCCTACAACCTTAGAGTCTAATCAGCCTCATTGAAGTTACATGTGTTATTTTAGTTAGGGCAGTTCCCATTGTCAAATCTGACTTATGTAAAATAGCATTCACAGTACTCTTTAAGTATGTTGGTATTACCTTCACAAATTTCTCACTGTTACAGTGAGAAGTGTGTCCTCTGGGCAATCTGTGGGTTTGTTTGTGGTCCAGTCCACTATCAATGTGCCAGTTTCCCTAAGCCTTTGGATACCTTCTACAGTATATACCAAGGCACATCTGGCATTTTAACTTGATTTTGTGTAAGCCACTGCTTAATCCATGCTTCAGTGAACTAACCAAATTATCAGGTCCTTTTCTAACCTCTCAAGGTAAAACATTGAATGAAGAATCTGTGCTTAGTGGGATCATATCAGTATACTCAGACTCATCTAATTTTGTTCCTTGCCAATGGGGCGGCAGGGAGGCTGCATCTTCTGACCTCCTCTAACCCCACAAGAGGAAGACAGAGTCATCATCAGTAGCCCAAGGCCTATTCCTGTGAGGTCAGACATGCTGCCTCCCTCCAGCCCTTTCTCCAACCTTGACACCACCTGTTCCTCCTGCAGCACCCACCACTCTCTGCTGGGTTTGATAATTTGCTGCAGTGGCCACACACAACTCAAAGATTATGGGGTTTACTGGGGAAGCAACAGGCTACAATTCAAGTTCAGAAATGGACTCAGTCTCTTGCAGCCCGCCGTTTCTCTTAGCAGCCAGCAGTCTCTCTCAGCACTGCATCTCTCACATCTGTCTCAACAGCATGTGTCTTTCACATCTCTCTCTCAGTAAGTGCATGTCTCTCAGGAGCGTGTTTCTCTTAGCAGCACATCTTGCTCAGCCAGCAGTCAGAGAGACTCCTGCCTCTAGGAGGGCTCCTTTTGAGGCGGCAGAGTGGCTAAACTAACCAATCCCACATCAGAATTCTATACACATGAGAGAGAGTGAGCAAGATAACTTCCCAGAAGATTGATTCTGTGCCATGTGTAACAGAAATACCCCAGGTGGATTACTTTAACAATCAGGAGCTACTCAGTTGCGCATGGCAAATTCCGCCATGGAGTTTATAAAGACTTATGGCTAGAAAAGCCACACTAGGTAATTTATTATACCACATTACTTGTACCATTATCATACCATTAATAGCCATCTCCCATATATTCCATGTGTCTGTTTGCTTAAGAAAAACTAGGTGGTTCTTTTGGAGTGTTGGGTACTTCTTCATGGTCATCTTCATCTTTTGGGGCTTTCTGGGACTTAAGTCTAATTTTAGGTCTAGAAGTGAAAATGGATGGTAGTGGTGGAATCTGGGGACATTCCATGATCTCTTCTTGTAAGGGATCTTAGGCACTGCTCCAGGTGATATCTGACAAACACAGTTTGGTTAATCTTACCAGATATTGTGTGTGTGGGTGTGTTTGTGTAATGGATAATGGTTTTCTCGGGAGGATAGCTTTGCAGAGAAAGCTAAGAGGAGTAGGAGGGTTGGTTCTCTTGGCTGGAGTGATTCAGTGGAATTTAGAGGTTCAGTGTCCCCAGCTTCCTGATTATCTGCTTGTATTTGCTCATTCCAAATTTTAGGATCCCATATCTTTCCAATCAGTGCCCTCACTTTAATGTCAGACACCGTTTGAGTTTGAGAATTCAGTTGACATTATAATTCAGACATTCTTTGGATAAAGCTTTGGGTTTTGTTTTTGGCAGTATCAGCTCTGTTACTATATGAAAATATGGCTTTCTTTCAGGGCGCAAGTGACAGCTTTCAGGTCTTTTATGTGGTGCTTGAGCTGTAACTGAAGCTTTGAGTTCATCCCTTTAACCACTTTGTCTAGCGAAAGGAGGATCAACCTACCAGCTTCCTTTACTTCTCATTGTGACAAAATTATAGAAAAGTATCTCATGTGTAATCACCCTTGTTTCTCACAAATATTTATTGGTGGTGATGAAATCACCAAAACTCATCCTTAAGATTTTGTTCCAATAGAACCATTGTTGGTACCACATGTCTTGGGATATGTTCACTAGAGGAGCAAAACCAGTAAAGTGTATATGTAATAAAAATATGTAGAGAGATTTATTTCGAGGAAATGGCTCACAGTTGGGAAGGCTAGCAAGTCTGAAATCCATGGGTCGGGCAACAGGCTAGAGGTTTTTCCTGACTCATGGTTGCAGTAGCCGAGCAATCCAAAATCTGAAGATCAGATGGCAGGCTACTGGCTCATATCCCCAGAACCAGAGATCAAAGGATGAGGAGCCATATGAAAGAGAGTGAAAGAGAGGTAGAGGAGAGCTTTGTCAAATACCCGTGTAGATTGATACAGGCCACATCCTCAAGGAAACTCCCAGTATAACTGATCAGCTGCTCAGAACAGATCACAAAATGGAGTATGATTATATAATGTCTGCCAAACCATTGAGAGTCATTGCCTTGCTAAGTTGACACATATATTAACCCGTCAAAGTAGCTCTGGGGTTTTACAGGTAGAGGTAAAATACAGATCTAAATTTGTGTGTTTCCTCTTCAGCAAATGTACAAAACAGTTTTGATAGCTGTATTTTGAAATTGGTGTATTGTTCTTAAGGAATGTTAAAAAAAAAAAGTTGGTTTTTTGGAATATGTGTGCCATAAAGATGCCATAAAATTTTGCAATTTTGTTAATAAAGTTTCTAATGTTTTTGAGGGAGCTCTGGTAGCATAGTGCCTAAGTCACTTGACTGCTAACCAGAAGGCTGGCGGTTCAAACTCACCAGCCACTCCTCAGAAGGAAGGTTGGGCAATCTACTTCCATAGGGATACCACCTCGGCAACCCAAGGAGGGTCACTATGAGTCTGGTCCGAATCAATGGCACACAACAACGACACAACAACAACAGTGTTTATGAAATACTTTTCATTAAAATTACTACATTTCTACTGAGAATATCACATTTAAAGTGCTCTTACTTTATTTCTAGGATGATAGTGATCTTCCTAAAACATCTTCTGGAAGAAGGAGAGTAAGTTAATTTGATTTGATTGACCATTATGATTACTTGTTCTTTGTTTTAAATTCAACTTAAAATTTTAGATTTTACCTTAGAAAAGTCACATTTGTACAGATTTTTGAATATTTTATAAGAAATATGGAAGAAATCACTTCAAGCTAGTGGATATGTTAGGAAAGTTTAGTGGAGAAATTGAGATTTGAACTGTGTTCTCCAGGCTAGGTGGAGTGATATTATGAGCCAAGATGTCAAAAAAGGGAAGAATGGCATGTCTATGTCCTAGTGCTGGTGCTGGCCTGAGTAAAGGTTGAATACTGGAAACAAGAGGCTGTGTCTGTCCATTATGTTGAGAGCAGATTATCGTAATATTGAAAACAGAGGATTTCATTTAAATTTAAGTTAGGGAATCAGTGTTACAGCTAAAATAGATTTTGAGGGTAGGAGGATTGGTATTAAAGGAGATGAATACACTAAAGCGTAACTGCAGATTCCCTTTTGCTATGTAAGGTAATATATTAAAGGTTCTGGAGATTAAGACATGGACATATTTGGAGAGGCATTATTCTATTATATTTGTTATTTAGTGCTGCTGTAACAGAAATAAAACAAGTGGATGGCTTTAACAACAGGAATTTGTTTTCTCATAGTAGTAGGCTAAAAGTCCAATTAGGGCTAACTGCTTTAAGGGAAGACTTTCATTCGTTCACCTCTGGGAGATGATCCTTGTCTCTTTTCCAACTTGTGTTCCTTGGTAATCTTCATGTCCCTTGGCATTTATCTTTCCCATCTTCGCTTCCTTGCTGCTTGCCTATTTTTACTCTTTTCATTTCTCAAAAATCATATGACATACCTTACACATATATGGCCTTATTAACATGACAAAGAAAACCACATTCCCAAATGGGATTACATTCACAAGTCAAAGGATTAGGATTCTAGCACATATATTTGGGGACACAGTTCAATTCATAACATCTGGGTGCCACTGTATCTAAGTGAATGTTCATATTTGAACACATTTTATAAAATTAGAGTGGGATAGCCGTTCACTAGATGTGTCTTGATTGTGAGCGTGCTTTTCATAACGTACATGTAATTTTACTGAACTGGCAGGTTTCATTTCTAATATTCTTTGAGTAACATGTTTTGTTTTTGGGTGTTCATAGAAAAGTTGTATTTTTTTCTAGCTAGTTAGATAGTCTAAAGTAGTCACAGTTCTTACAATAAATGTTCATTTGCATTTTTAATATAATCGCAATACCATAGTGTGACCTTCTCTAAGACTGGAAAAAAATTTAATACTGTGAACATATTTTTAGGTCCATGATTGGAAAAAAAGGAGCAACAAAGCAACCAACTATGTTGAAAGCAACTGGAAGAAACAGTGTAAGGAGCTAGTGAACTTAATTTTTCAGTGTGAAGATTCTGAACCATTTAGACAACCTGTTGATTTGGTTGAATATCCAGTAAGTTTTCATTATTCAAATGCTGGGGCTTCTCTTTTTGTGGAGAGGAGATTGGGGTAGAGTTGTTTAATAAATTAAACTTTAAAGAGTAAAATGTATAGACCTTATGTTAACTTTTCCCTATTTCTGCTAAATCAGGTAGTATGTCATCTATTAGAAGAATTGTTTTACACAGTTTTCATGAATGTATAGATACCCTTATAAGTCATTTAAAAATTAAGATTTAGTTGAACCAGTGTTACATTAATGTGAAAATTATTATTATTTTTTAAATTGTGATTTGGGTGAAAGTTTACAGGGCAAATTCACTTTCCATACAGCAGCTCACATATACTTTGTCTCATGACATTGACTACAATTTACCACAAAGCAACAGCTTCCCTCCCATTTCCTCCCAATAGTTACCTCTTCCCTATGTCCTTCCCTTCATGTACTCCTGTCCCCTGAGCTGTCTTCCATGTGTACACAGCCCTTCTATTCTTCCATGATTGTTCTCTCCAAGTATATCTACCTAATATAAATGTTTACCTTATATGCCTGTCTTTTGTTTGGCTGGAATCCACAGGAGTGAGTTCAATTCCAGACCTGAAGGGCAGCTAGGGGCCGTAGTCTCAGTGGTTCCATCAGGCTCTGTCAGACCAGCAAAGCTGGTACTCCCCCCCCCCTTTTTTTTTTTTTCAATGATACTGAATTTCATTCCACATTGTTCTCCCACTCTGTCTCCTACATAGATCCCCCTCTGAGTGGTTGACAGTGGTAGCCGGGCACCATCTAGTTCTTCTGGTCTCATAGTCATATAGGCTGAGGATCACATGCTGTACCAGTCACTTGGACTAACTGTTTCCATGAATCTTTGGTTTCCTTCATTCTTCTTTGCTCTGGAAGAAGAGATGCCCATCGTTGCTTCCAGATGGCCACTTGCAGGCTTTTAAGATCCTCGTCACAATTCACCAATGTAGGATGTGGAACAATGTTTTGTGTAGTATGTTAAGCCAGTTGAGCTTGATGTCCCCTGCAATTATGGTCCCGAGCCCACAGGTCCAACTACTCGCTCCCTCTGGGTAGCTGACTGTGGCCAAGAAGTGACTACAATCTTGTCCCTTTTCAGTTCTACTGTATACCTGGGAATTCTTACAGAACATAACAACACCTTGTAGAAACATTGTCTGACATCCCTACACATGGTCTTGGGCACACTCCCCCCTGCACAGACAAACCTAATAGTTTAGCCTGTCCACCCTTCTATCCACCTGTATGCCTAATGTTGAGAATTCTTGATGGGTAGTCATTAAATATACCATATCAAAAAACAAACTCATTGCCATTGAGTCAATCTGACTAATAGCAACCCCTCCTAGGGTTTCTGAGACAATATCTCTATGGAAGTAGATTTGCCCAATCTTCCTTCTGAGGAGTGACTGGTGGGTTTGAACCTGCAGGCCTCAGGTTAGCAGTCAAATGCCTCAGGCACTACCCCACCAGAGCGTCAATTGCAGGAGAACTATGAGTTGGATAAAAGTCTTTTTTCACTACTCCAAAAGGAGAATGGAAGATGAAGTTAAAGAAAAAAAAAAAATTATACCAGCACAAATTTCATTTAATAAGCTTGGGAGTTACAAAAGAGTGTAAAGAAGGAAATCATCCCAAATCTTACTACCAAGAGATAGACATGAACATTTTGGTATGTTTCTTTTTATCATGTATATCTGTGCCTCTTTTTAGAAAATAATAATGAATCTTAAGATCCTTCTAATCTTTTATCCCTTTTATCATTTTGAATATTTTATAGATAAATCCATTTACATTTCTAAAGACAGAAATTGAATTTCTCCACTAATTATTGATTTTAAAACCTAGGACTATCGAGATATTATAGATACTCCAATGGATTTTGGAACAGTAAGGGAAACATTAGAAGCAGGAAATTATGACAGCCCTTTGGAATTTTGCAAAGACATCCGGTTGATATTTAGCAATGCAAAAGCATACACACCAAACAAAAGATCAAAGGTAATTTTTAAAGTGGTTTATTAAAAAAGCATGCGTGCATGATGTCTGTAGATAATAGTTTTTCCATTTGTTGATAGAGAATGGAACAAAAAACTAAGGGAGTAGATTAAGACAACTATTAAGTTTAAAAATAGAGATGTTGCTGATGTCCAGATTTGCTGTTGTTGTCTTACAACAATTGCTATTTATGTTTGGTAAAGTTTTATGACCTAATGAGGATTGGTGGTAGGAATGTGGGTACCAGTGGGAAGTGAGTAAATTTGAGTTTGACATATTGAATGAGAAATACCTGTGTATTTAAAAATTTAAAAAATGAATGGAAATTTATTGACAGATAGGAAAGATATTTTAAAAGGGAATGTCAGAAATGAGGGTGGGGTTACTGAAGGCATATTAATTTTCTGGATCAAAAAAGCAACATATGAGTTATCAAGTTATTTAAGAAAAAGAATAGAAAACATATTCTTAAATTTTTAACATGTTATATGTTGGATAAACTTTTAAAATAGAGTATAATATATATATGAAAATGCACATTTCATATTCTCAAAGAATTTTCACAACCATCACTCTTAGCACAAATGTGCTGGGTGCACACATAATATCACCAATAATTTAGAGGTAATATTTATCTATTTTGACCATTTTAAAAGTCAGCTTTATTTGTATTGTGATTTGAATGACAATTTGAGAGGTAAGATTTAAAATAAAACATTTGCCTGATACATCATAGTGTTTTCTCTGCCCACAGTGAATAACTATAATTACTAATTATCTATTTTGCTTTAACTCCACTTTCCCCTCATTACTTTAGTATGACATTTCCACATTATTGCATCTGATCTCAATTCTAGAACTCTTTCAGTGCATTATTGATAACCGAATTGCTTATTAGTTCAGTTTAACATTTAAATCTAACATATTTCCAAGATTGGATTTATGTCATATGGCACGAACATTTCTTTCCATTGAGAAAATAAATTTCACTCTTTTTTCCCCCATTTTGTTTAAAATATGATTTTGAGGAGCATAGGAGAGAGATGATGACCAGTACAAGTGGTTCAACTTCATTGTTGTATTTTTGTGTATCCTTACGTCCTTTTTCCTAAGCCTTACTTTATATGCATAATTTAGGTTTTTGTTTCTTAGCAGGGAAATATGTCGAGCATTCTTTTTGGTGGCACTACTTGGTAGTAGCTCAATTTTTAGCACCAATTTTTGAGAAAGTATTTTCATTTCAGATGTATTACTGAAATTTTCATAAAATACAGTGAAAAAATAAATACGAAAATGCTGATACTAGGGGCAGTCAGGTTTCAGATTTCATATGATTAAGAGTAAAAAATCATTCATCTACTATTACTGCCCATTTTATTTTTTTATATTGTGATTTGGGTGACAATATACAGAGAAAATTAGTTTTCTATGCAGCAATTCATACACACTTTGTTTTGTGACATGATTGCAATCCATACAGTGTAACAGCACTCTTTCCACTTCTCCCTGTGTTAACATTTCCTTTGCCCTTCTTTACTATCCCTTCTTGCCTATTGAACTTTGTCCTTCAGCAAATGCTGCCCATTTGATCTAGTATGGTTGATTATTCCAAGGGTATGTACCTCTCTGGTGTTATTGTTCATCTTATAGTTATCTGTCTGTGTTACTTGACTGAAAGTTGAACCACAGGATTCTATGCTTGGGGGGGGGGGTGCGGCTAAGGACCCTAGTCTCTTGGTGGTGGTGGTGGAGGAGGAGAAAGTTTTCTGCTAGCCTCTGATCAGACCAGTGAGCCTGGTCTTTTTTATGATTTTGAGTTCTGTTCCATATTTTTTTCCTCTCTATATGGGACCTCCTATTTTGACTCCATTCAGAGAGATCAGCAGTGGTAGCTGGGCAACATACAGTTCTGATGTCAGGGATTGCAGGCTGGGATTCATGTGGTCCATTAGTTCTTTGGACTAATAGTTTCCTTGAATCTTTGATTTTCTTCACTTTTTTTTTGCTTTGGACTATTTTGCTCATTTTAAAAGTTAGCTTTATTGAGGTATAATTTACATTCAATAAAACGCACCAATTTTAAGGGTAAAATCTGGTAACTTTTGGAAAGTATACATAGTCATGTAACCACCATCACAATCATGATACAGGAAATTTCTATCAGCCTCCCCAAATTTTTTTGTGTACCTGTGGACTGAATCCTATTCTCCCAACTCCTGGCTCCAGGAAATCACTGATCTGCTTTCTTTCTTTTTAATTTTTATTTTGAGTTGGGTGATGTTTACAGAGCAAATTCATTTTCCATACACATTTTGTTTCATGACATTGACTGTAATTCCGTACAAAGTAACAGCTCTCTTCCTGCTTCTTCCCTATAGTTACCTCTTCTGTGTCCTTCCCTCCCATCTGACTGATCTGCTTTCTGTCACTGTAGATAGGATTTCTCTTATTTTTGCTCTCATTTATTTAAAAAATTCTTCTTTTTAAATTGTGATTTGGGTGAACGTTTACAGAGCAAATTTGTTTTCCATTCAATAATTCGTACACATTTTGTTTCGTGATATTGATTGCAAGCCCTATAATTTAACAGCTCTCTTTCTACTTCTTCCTTGTGGTTACCCTTTATTTTAAAATTATTATATCTGTAGCATCACTGGATACTCATTATACTTAGAGTTAAGCTAGCATGCAAGTATTATGGAGAAGAAGAAAATTAAATACTATACACAATACTGGAAATATTGTCAAAGTTTATTTCAGAGATGAAGTGTGGTGTTATACATTTCACATGTATTCATTATATATATTTATATATGAACATATATAAACACAAACATACTTGGAGCATATTCAAAAATCATATATCTGTCCATGCTAATTTTAATGAACCTTTCTTTTTTTCTTTTTTTAAATTCTCTGATATTGGAGTTCTTCCCCTCTCCACCTTTTATCTCCCCCTCCCCACTTCCTACCTCCACACTACATGGTTATTCAACTTTTAGACGTTTATTAGACATTTGTATTTGTTCTCAGGAATGATGGTATATGGTAAGTATAGAGTACTACTTGTAAATACATAGCTGTGCCAAAAGTTATTTATGGTAATACCTATATCACATTACTTTCTTTTAAAGATTTGATGATAATTATGAAAACTGTTAAAACACGGAATTCTGGGGTACATTTTATTCTTTACTGAGTGCAACACAAACTTTTGTTTGTTATTTGTATTTAGGTCTTCATGGCATCTATATAGTCAAATTCAAGTAGGGACTAGGGTAAAAGTGTTTTTTTGTTCCCTTGGTCCAAGAGACATCTCTCTTTTGCTACCAAAATAACAGCCTTAAAACCAACCAATGTTCCCCACATAACTTTAGGAGACAGTTAATTTTTTCAGTTTATACATGAAAATATAAAAACGGAAAAATAGATCGAGAACACTAACATATAGAAGTGTTAGATTCTACGTTTTTGAGAGTTGCTTGATTTAAAATTACTTTGAAGTAGACAAAATACATAAAAGCTATTATTTACAAGTAGTGATCCAATAGTATGCATTTAGCCTCAGTGATTATACTTAGTTTTTTGTAAAAATCTGTAAAAGATATTTTGTAATTAAAAAGAACTACTTTATATTCTTACAGATTTACAGTATGACCTTGAGATTGTCTGCCTTATTTGAAGAAAAAATGAAGAAAATCTCCTCAGATTTTAAAATTGGTCAAAAATTTAATGAAAAACTTCGAAGAAGCCAGAGGTTCAAGAGACGACAAAATTGTAGTCGTGTCAATCAGGCTAACAAAAGTATGAGGTGAGATGGTTATGACAGGCTTTGCATGCAACAGCATTTTGATTTAAGGTTGTATTATTTCTTTGATTTTATTATGCTAGAAATGTTTAATCTTTTTAAAAACAACACATTCATAAAAGAATAGTCATAGGTTTGTTTTGCCTTGAAAAATTTCTGAAAATAGAGAGGTGCCATATTGATTTTTAATTATGTAAATCTGAAAGCATTTAGTAAAGCTCATACTTTTTTAGCTTTACAAAGAAATTATTATTTATCTTCTGTATAAAAAAAATGAATTTTTTAAATGTAGAGATTAAAGTGATTGAGCCGTTGATTGTGTAAGGGAAAATGTTCATTAGATATAATACACCTAGTTATTAACTGAGAATTAGTTGTAAAGAAGAAATACAAATGCAGAGTTTAATCATTTATCAGTAATTTGATAGAAATTTACATTTTATCTTTTTCCATTGTGTGGCTTGCATTAATATATATCTACAGGTACTTTAATTATAGGTACTGAAATACCAAAATAGAGTCATTTATTTAGTTTGTTTCCATGTACATTCTGAACACACAGTCCTACTTCATGAGGATAGGTTCTGATGTCTTTCTGAGCTCCAAATTCATAGTAAACTCTGGTAACAGTTAATTCTTCTGTATTTATCACTTTGTGTCTCAATTCTAAACAATCAATTTCAGGTTAGTACTATTTTAATTCCAATAGATGTGGAAACTTTTCTCCCTTCCCTTCCTCTTCTTTGGTGCTGTTATTCTCATACAGATTATATCTTTATATATGGTATGTTTTGTGCAGTTGTCTTTTAAATCAGTTAAGACAAGAAAAGAATACATTATTTATAATTTTCTTTTAATATCTACCTACATAATTACTTTTCCTCATGGTCTTTATTTCTGTGTGTGGTTTTGAATTGCCCTCTCGTGTCATTTCATTTCAACCTAAAGGATTTCCTTTAGTAATTTTTCGTAAGGCAGATGTGCTTGCAATGAATTCTCTCAATTTTTGTTTACCTGAAAATGTCTTAATTTCTTAATTCCTCCCTCCAGCAAGGGTGTTGTTATTTTATAAGCCACTCTGTTACTTAGCTTAAAGGAAACCTCAAACAATACCTTATCTTTGTGTATAACATGCCCACATAAATAATACATACTGATAGAACTTGCTTAGTGCTAGTCAGAGACTAATGCATGAAGAGATTGTGGGGTTTGCAAAAAGAAAACAAAATGTCAAACCATATAATGTGGACTTCCGGTAAGATGGAGGACTAGGCAGACAAGCGACACAGACCCTTTTCAACAAACAAAAGAAAACCCAGTTGACAGATACAGAACATAATCTTTGAGCCCTGAGCTTTGAAAGGAACTAGGCAGAAGTGGAGTAGGCACCAACTAGTGGAAAAATATGAATGAAATCAGTGAGTACAGAGACGGTTGGCGTTGCAGACTGTCAGATACTCTGATGGCACCAATAGCCTGAATATTTCCAAGTGGTGTTGGGACCTGAGAACTGACTTAAAGATCAGCCCAGGTCACCAACGGCTGCAGGGACAACTGCGCTGGTGGCCTATGACTAAGAAGGGAAATAGCAAGGAGGAAGACAACCTGAGCTGTTGACTCTCCACTGTCCGGAGGGTGTAAGCATTTTGATTGTTTATATGTGGCAGCCATTTTGGATCTATAAAGTGACCAAGGGTGCAGCCATTTTGAATGTTTATGAGTGGCAGCCATTTTGGATATTTAAAGTGACTGAGGGTGCAGCCATTTTGAATGTTTACAAGTGGTGGCCATTTTGGATATTTAAAGTGACTTGAGGGCACAGCTATTTTAAATCTTTACAAGTGGCAGCCATTTTGGATTTTAAAGTGATAGCATTCTCATTTGGACTCCAGGGACCTAAGAATAGGCTCTGTTTGCCAAGGTTAGCAGGGACATATGAGAGGCTGACAACAGGAAAGGAGACAGGTGGTGAGTGTATAAGTGCTGCCCACTAGCAAATAGAGGAGCATAATACCCTCCTTGCATAGATAACATACAAACAAAACAAAGAAAATGAAAATCGTGGGCAAGTTACTCTAACATACAATCACCAATTAAATATAAACACAAAAACATCACAATGCCTCAAAGACAGCAGAGTATCACAGTCCACACAAAGAAGCAAGATAAAGCAGGAGAAACAAGGGACCAGGATATAGACCCAAAACACATCCCTGAGGAAGACCCAGCACTGGAATTCCTTGGTAAGGAATTCAAAAGAATTATATTTAGGTTTCTTCAACAAATTGCGAGACAGATCAAGGAAAACACAGAGAAAACCCTAGAACAATTTCAGAAGACAATACAAGAACAAAATGACAAAATAAATGAAAAATTAGAAAGTATACAAAATCTACACACAGAAATCCAGAAGATTAATACTACATTTTCAGCAATAGATAAGATATTGAGTGGACAAAGGAGCAGAATTGAATCAATGGAAAACAGAATTAGGGATCTGAAGGCAAATACCTGAACACTTTTTTGGAAAGGGATCATTCAGAAAAAAGATCAAAACAAAATGAAGAAAGCCTACGGTTCATGTGGGATACCATCAAAAGGAATAACCTATGTGTCATCGGAATTCCAGAAGCGGAAGAGACAAATAAAACCACTGAGAAAATTGTCCAAGATTTGTTGGAAGAGGATTTTCCTGGTATGATGAAAGATGAGAATGTATCCATTCAGGAAGTCCAACAAACCCTAAACAGGATAGAACCCAAAAGAAGATCACTCAGACATACCATCATCAAACTTAACCAAAACCAAAGACAAAGAAAGAATCATGAGAGCAACATGGGAAAAACGAAAAGTTACCTACAAGGGGCAACCAATAAGACTAAGCTCAGATTTCTCAACAGACACTACGCAGGCGAGAAGACAGTGGGATGGTATATATAAAATACTGAAAGAGAAAAATCTCCAATCAAGAATCATATACCCAGCAAAATTGTCCCTCAAATATGTTGGTGAAATTAGGACCTTTCCAGATAAGCAGAAATTAAGGGAATTTGCTAAAATCAGACCAACCTTACAAGAGATGCTAAAGGGTGCCCTTTGGACAGAGGAGCAATAAAAGCCAACAACAACTGACCATTAACACACATGATGATATAACCCAGAAACCAACCCAGCTGGAAGTATCCAAGGTAATAAGCCTACAAGATTGTAAACAGGGAACCAGAGACATCATTTGACAAATGAGGACAACTACAAACCAAAAAGAGGGAAAAAAACTATGTCATTACAGAACTTCTAGATGGTAGGGAAGTCAAGACAGTTACAAGATAGAATGGACTGTTCTAAACTTGGGAAGAAAATTATAAATCACAGGGCAACCGCAAAGAAAAGTGATAAACCTTCACATCAAAAAAAAAAAAAAAAGGACCAGCATAAATATTCAGCAAATACTGAAACAGTAGCAATGAAGGAGTGACAACACAATTCATAAGCACAATGAACTCAGCATAGAAAACTATATGGAACAAAGAAATAGACACGATGAAAAAGCACATAACAAAAATGACAGCAACAAATTCATATTTGCCGACAGTTACATATCTGGCAAGGGACTTACCTCTCAGATTTATAGCAGAAGAATGGATGACCAAACTATGGTACAATACATAATGGAATGCTATGCAGCACTAAAGAATAATGTAGAGTCTGCAAAACACTGCATAATATGGATGACCTTGGAGGAGATTATGCTGAGTTAAATAAGTCAATTATAGACAGACAAATACAGTATTAGTTCGTTGCTGTGCAGAGTCAAGGAAAGGTTTATATATGGAGGGAAACTATTTGTTGGTTGCCAGGGGTGGGAGGGGAGGAGAGGGAACATTACAAAAAAAAAAAAAACAAAAAAACATTGACCCATGTCACTTTAGTTTTGTGTATTTTACTGTACATAAATTATATTTCAATAAGATGCATTTTAAAAAGACCCATATAATACAAGAGTTATTTGCACAAAAATACAGTAGTTTCAGTTCATGGTTTAAAGAGTATCTCAGGATTATAGTTTTAGGGAATCTTAGTTTCAACTCATATAGTATATTGAAGGTTTTTTTTTTTTTTAAGAATTTGATTTCAACTGTTCCACATTTTTCTTCTGTTCTGTCAGGATCCATCTCTAGTGGCCCTGATAAGATACCAGTAGTGGTAGCTGGGTACCATCTCGTTTAAGGGTAGATGAGGCCATAGCTTATGGTAGACTATTAGTCCTGAAGATTAGTTTCTTCTCTAAGTCTTTGGTTTACTTCTTTCTCTTTTGTTCTAGATGTGTAGAGACCAATAGTTTTTATCTTAGATGGCTGCTTGCAAGGTTTTAAGATCTCAGAGACTACTCACTAAACTATGATGTGGAACCATGCATGTCAGGAACTGTTTTATGCCAATTGATTGAGTATACCATGAAACTGTGGTCCTAAGCCTCCAAACCCAGAAAACTAATTTGTGAGGTACTTGGCTATGTATCAGAAATATCAGTAACTCTGCCTCTATGTGGTTTATTATATATATGAATATATATACATGTATATGCATAACTGTATATACATATACATATAGCTATACATGTACACGTGTACACACAACCCAACATATATATGCATATGTATGTACATATATAACCACACATTTTTTATCTGGTTGGTGGTGTTGCAAAATTACATATATGTCTTACTTTTCACCAAAAAAACATTCTTAGTGGCGTCATTTACCTTGGGTAAGCTGTGCATACTTCACCCACACTTAGTGCTACATTTTCCATTACAAAAAAGAACAAGTATCTCTCCCCGCACTACCCAGCCCTGGTAATCACCAATGAATGTTGGCCTCTACAGAAACATCGATTGTCTTTTTATCAAAGTGAAGTCATATATTTGTCCTTTTGTGATTGACTTATTTCACTCAACATAATGTCCTCCAGATTCATCCCCATAATACATTTTGAGAACTTG